ACACACACACACACACACACACACACACACACACACACACACACACACACACACACAGCAGGTTAATGCTCACTCAGCTGCAGCACAGTTTAAACTGACCCGTTCTGCTTCTACAACATGTACCCCCACCCTGGTTCTGACTCCCCCACAGCTCTGGACCCACCCTGGTTCTGACTCCCCCACAGCTCTGGACCCACCCTGGTTCTGACTCCCCCACAGCTCTGGACCCACCCGGGCCATGTTGTGTGTTCATGTGAGCAGGAACCAGGAGCTTCATGCACACACTGCACCGACCCGTTTGGGAGGAGGAGCAGCACCGAGGAGAACTGTTGCTGCAGGAGACAGCCGTACTGAGGGTTAGAAGGTTCTGTTCTGGTTCTGGTTCTGAAACCATCCTTGCTGGTCCTGTTTGGTTCTGAGAGGCCTCAGGTGGTTCCTGCTCTGGTCTCTGTTAGCGAGCGCTGGACTCAGGAGGGTATCTGACTTGTTTTTGTGGACGGGGGCTTCAGCTAACTACAGGTCCCACAGGCCCGCGGGCCCGGGGGAGGACCGGCTCCGACTCATCGGTAATCTGTCCTGCAGGACTGAGAGAACAGGAGCTGCTGTGTGAACAGACTCACAATCATCACCTACAGTCTCCTTTCTGTCAGGAAATGAATGAAGCTAACAGGCTAACAAAGCACCGGTGCTAACGGGTCAATGTGTTGTTCTGTTTCTGAACCAGAACCAGCTGGACTTGTTGTTATAACAACTGTTAGTCTGAGTAAAGTTTCAGCTGATGTCGACAGGTTTCAGCTGCTCTCTGAAACATTTTCAGTTATTCTGCACACTCGACACACTCGACGTGTTCTGAGGGGAACTCCCTGAAATAGAAAAGCTGTTTATCCAACACAATAATGAAGAAGCGTCCGAGGACTGCGGAGGTTGGAGGATGTGTTTCGCTGCAGGAAGGTGTGGGATGAAGCTGCAGCAGCAGCAGGGTGAGGACCGGAGGCACAAAAACACAGAAACATGAATATGAATGACTTCCTGCAACAACCTTGACTGAACAAACTGATCCTGGTCTGCTCGCCTCGCTCTGTGTGTGTCTGTGTGTGTGTGTGTGATGACTCTACACACCCCGCTCTGTGAAAACGTGTGTGTTGTTGTGAACTGCTCCCCAGAGACCCCCCCCCCTCCACTACATGTGTCCCACATTCCCTCCTCTGCACCACTAATTGTTTTTTATAATTATTTTCACCCTCTGCTGTTGTGACAGGCTGCTGCTGCACCTCTCTGAACACATTAGTGCAACAGAAACAAAACGAGCGCAGAAACATGATTTCTACCAAAAACAGACTCACAAGGAACTCTTCAAGCAACACAAGCTGCCTGCCAGGGTCTGCAGAAACTGTTTAAAGAAAACCCACAGGTGTGAGGGCTTTCCAGGTGCGATTCTGTGCTAAATTAAATAATTAGCAAATCATTGACAGCATTTATTCAGCTGAAAACAGAACATGTGGCTTCAGTCTTCTGACAGGAAACAAACAGAAAAATGTTGAATTTCTTCCAAATGTTCCACAATTCAGTCCTTAAACATCAAAACACAAACATCCTGACAACTTTTACTAAAACATCTGTTTCATGTTTCAGTCACATGACAGGAAACAGTTTAAAACAACAAACTAACTAAAAGATAACTTGTCTTTATTACTGCAGCTCTACTCTGAGCTCTGAACCTCAGCTGAAAGCTAAATGTTGCTAAAAATTTCAATAACAGGCTAAATGTAGCTAAATTAGCATAACTTTAGCTTTAGCATAAGCCTAATTATCAATAGCAGCAGCAGTATTAGTATTAGCAGTATTATTAGCATTAGCAGTATTATTAGCATTAGCAGTATTAGCAGTAGCACCATTAGCAGAAGAATTAGCAGTAGCACTAGCAGTAGTATTAGCAGTGGTATTAGCAGTAGTATTAGCAGTAGCACCATTAGCAGTAGCATTAGCACCATTAGCAGCAGTATTAGCAGTAGTATTAGCAGTAGCACCATTAGCAGTAGTATTAGCAGTAGTGCAGTAGCACCATTAGCAGCAGTATTAGCAGTAGTATTAGCAGTAGCACCATTAGCAGTAGTATTAGCAGTAGTGCAGTAGCACCATTAGCAGTAGTATTAGCAGTAGTATTAGCAGTAG